GGGGAAAAAAGATCTACGGCGGTCAACTAGCGGTTGCGGAGGAGAAACGGCGCTTTATGTTATTAAGCTCGCAAAGAGCTAGGCTAAAAAGCGCTATCACGGTTGCGATTAGATCAGCACCAGCGATGGCGAGCATTACGTGACGGACGTTCGTTTCGCGGAGAGGAGAGGACGGGGAGGGCGAGAGAAGGGAAGAGTGGAAAAGGAAGAGATGGGGCCATAGAGGAGGAAAGTCCACTTGGGGTGGAAAAATCGAATGACGGCCATCCTTACATATTAGCTGCGAGCCTTTGAGAACGTGTGAAAAAAATGAAAGAGAAGAACCTGCTCACGAAGGAACGAATGGTTCCTTATTTGGGAAAGGATCTTAGCCCTTTTAAACACAAACTGCGAAAAGAACGAATCTGCGTAGACATTAAAGAAAGCACAGATGAACACGGGGGACACGAAAGACATACGGAAAAAAAGAGAAATTAAAAGAAAGACTATTTACGTGACTAACACTTTGGTACCATGAAAAAGGGTTTAGAGAAGCGCGAAGAGGACATGCGACGCATTTGGGATAAAAATCTCAGATACGCTGGGGGCAAGAGGCGGTTGGTTGCGCAAAACGAAAATTCCGAAGTTTCTCCGGAGAAAAAGGAGCCGACGAAGGGTAGTAAAGAACGTGATATCGAGGGGAAGCTCGAAGCAGAGGAAGATCACGGAAGACGAAGAGATGCATGGAAGACGCAGGACGGAATGGAAAAGAGCGAGCCTAGGAGGGCGAGGTGAAGCGGGAAAGGAAGAGGGTGCGCTCGCTCGCCGCCGGGGTGCGGGACAGGCCTCTCCCGCACCCCGAGAGGGTGCACGATGAGGACAGATCGTTAGGGTGGGAGTGGGAGGGGATGAGCGAGGGGAGGAAGGACGGAGTGCGTGCGCGAAGTGGCACTGGGCCATCGATCGGCTGCGCGCGGTGGTAGTCGCCGCCGTCGCCGTCGCTACTGCCGCCGCAGCCGCTGTCGTCGTCATCATCGTCATCATCGTCGTCGTCTTCGTAGCAGCTGAGCATTTTGCGTTGGCTGCACGCAGATCCGCGGGGTTGACTTCCCGCACGGCCGGACGCATGCTTAAGAAGACGAACGAGAGAAGCTGCGGCGGCTGCGGTTACGAGGGATGGAAAAGCGCGTTGGGACCAAGAGGGGTGAAGCGAAACCACGACGGAGTTAGTAAAGGGAATCGGTGATTAATCGCTCTGACATGTCTGTCTGCGAATTCCCTCTGTAAGCTGGTTGAAAATGACGGCAGATGCAGTCCAGGCGGCTCTCTGAGGCCAGAACCGTTGCGACTCTCTGCGGTTTTCTGGGTCAAGTGAGCCTAATGATGAGTCAAGAAGTCACGTTAGGGCGTATTTTGTACTACGTGTGTCGTCTTATGCGATTGCTTAGCAACGTAGGAAATTTCATTTTAAGATAGAAGAATAATAGTTTCTAAAGAGATTCCCTTACAATAAATATCGTAGAATAAAATGTTTGTAAATTGCACAATAAGAAATTAAATTTTTAGCGAAGATCAAAGAATCGTAATGTTATGTGACTGTAGGGCTTTTCTAGCATTTTGTAACTTTTAAAGAAATGTGTTACATAAACAGTTACATGCCAACCAAATTTGTTTAAAAATAAACAATAAAATTCCAGTGCCAAAGTAATATTATAATATAGAAGTACAAAAAAGTGTTGATTATTTATGCGCTCTGTAAGCTTAATCGTTTTTCCATTGTAAATTTTATTTCGATCTATGTATGGCTACTTCCGATTGGCAAAACTTGTCGGGATGCAATGTGATACTTGGCTTATCTAACCGAGACAAATCGCGTCTATTCTTACCACTTCGCGTGACGCGATATCAAAGAAATACACGCTGCATCGATCGCCTTTTCCTTATCCATATACGAGTGCATTGACGTTACAAGAAACCCAGCACACATATTGATCTTGTGTAAAAAACCGAAGGCCAGCTATGTCCGCAAGACCGATAAACACATTCAAGATTGCTGATTTTTATTACGCAGATTTTATGTGCTTTGTTACATCTACTTGTTTAGATTTAGAATAGCCATACAAATGTATCACAAAAATATTTAATTATTATATAAGAGAATTATTAAAATATAATTCAATAATTGTGCTATTAAAATAATACATCAAAGTAATAATAATGTTATACACCTATTACAAAATATTTAATATAATACATATTTAATAATTTTGCGAACAAAGATAAATCAGAATTTCTTCAACGATGCGAATTATACAAAACTACTCGTTTCCTGATCGTAATCCGCGGAAGCGGGTCTTCGCATAACGCAATGCTGCTGAAAGTGATGATCTCAACGTGTATTTTATGCACATGCAAACTTTACTGATTTTTCGTAATTGCAAACGCTGCTAAACGTTAAGGGAAATCTCGGCGCAGTTTTCTGCAGTTGTGGAACTCGAGGCTGAGGTCGAGAGTGGTCTTCATAAAGCGAGCAATAAAGATGATCATTGGCAGGTTTACTAGCTCATTTCTCGAGCAGGATCATCAACAATCGGGTTTCGATCAACCGGCAATTTCTGACCTCGGTTCTCAGCAGCAACCGCGGTAGCAGGAATCTCGTTTTGGCGACTGTGACCGCGGGTCGATCGCACTTGCAACGTGGAAATTTGATTTTATTAATAGGCCACGATCGATGGAGTGTATAATTTTAATGCAATTACATCCCGCCCGCCACCCCATGTCAGATCGAACGTAAATTTGAACGGTCGAGAAGTATAACGATCAGATACGATCGGCGCCGTTTCAAACCACTTTGCAGTTACGAAACGATGCATCATTAAATTCAGTTGCCACTTGATTGGTGATATTTACCGTAAACCTTTACAATTCACGACTCCTCGACGGACAGACCTGAGAGAAGGAGAGAGATCAATTTTAAAACAGATGGAAATATTATACAAGAGACGCGATATATCATACAGGATGAGGCAATAACTTTATCCACCTCGAATATCTCCGCTATTTTTAGAGATATGAAAAAATTATAATCACGAAAGTTGTACTATATCAAAGGAGCCATAACATATTAGTAATATTTTTTCAAAAAGTGCAGACGCTTCGGAGATTTTAAGGTCACCTCTATTTTCTTTAATGGCACCCTCTATTGTTTATTATACTATCTTATTCTACTAATTAATATGAACAACTTTTGTCGGAAACATTTTTTTATTTGTTTAATACTTTTTTGAGATATTTAAGAGAAAATTTATAACTTTCTCAATGTTTATGATATCTCGATAACTGTTTGCCGGAGGGAAAAGTAGTACGGGATTTTTTACTTGATTTGCTCTCCGAAATATACTGTTGCAACAGTGCTCTAATTATTGAAAATTTTTGTGTATTGTAACGTACACAAAATTTACATACACAAAACTTGTATCTCTAAAAATAACGGAGATATTTGAGGTAGGCAAAGTTATTGCCTCACCTTGTATATATGTATATTCTTCGATTCAAAATGACGATATTATATAAGCAGTAGATTTTGTGAAATAAACCGATAAAGGCATCACATAAGTTCAGAAATACATAGAAAAGTTATATTATTTAGATTAGGTATATTATGTACTGTCAATTCATGAAAACATTTGTGTAGTATATAAATTATTTGATTTGGATTAGATTTTTTGTTAGGTTTCTAAAGTTAATTTCAATGATACCATGCTTCTCTGATTTAGTCAGAATAGTGGAACACTGTCGGTCTGCACACATATTAAGGTCGGAATCCCTAAATAACTTTTAAAATATCCATAATAGCAAAAAAAATGTTAACAACTAAAGTTGTATGGTTTTTAGTAGCGCATTTTATAGCAAACCTAACATAACGTTAAACAGCTTTATCAAGGTCGTCTATGAGGAAGCCAGAATTGGAAAGCACAACTTATCCAGATCGTGACGAAATAGCGTGTCTAAATAATTACCGTAACTTTTCATTGTACAACTTTAAAATTTTAAATCAACTAATCTGCATGTTTTTTGCATTCGCACGTTTATAATGTGAAACATTATTGATAGCTTCTACAAATCAGGAATAACAAGCTAAACTTGAAAGTCGTAGATTTATATATCTTTTAGCACTATACAAAATTTTAGAAATGATCCGGAAATTTTCAATGGAAAATCGTCGAGTAACGCACGCCTATGTGCGTTTGGGTTGCAGATATAGAGTTGTAGCGAAAGGATAATTTATTGATAAAAGTGTTCGCCAAACATTATTTTTATTTTTACTTAATTTTTGTGGCGAAGTAATCAACCAAAGCTGTGATGTAACTAACAATAAGATATTATGTTGATTTATATGTACTTGTTGTGGAATACCTCTTCATTTATTAGACTTTGATGATAAATGTCTTGATGACAAAGATAAAAATTAATTGTAAAATGTGTAAATATGTCGTTAAAAAAATACTATACGTTTAGTAAGGAGTATATAAAAAAGGAGTACATAAAAAAAATTGAGGTAGAATAAACTCAAGACATTAGGTGATAAAGTTATGTGTGTGGGTGTGTGTGTGTGTGTGATAAAATATCATTTGCGTTCCTTATCTAAATATCGTACTTTTCTATTAAATAACGATATATGAGTATAACAGATTAAGAATTAATTCAGCAATTGTAACTTATGGTCACGAGTATAATTTAAATTTCATAGTATATAAAATTATAATTAATGGATCTTACTTGTCACGTAAATAGACCATATTAATTTAAATCTTTTTATTAATGTCAAATAACCGATATTATTTTGAGCCAAACGCGTGTCATGTTTACGTTGTAAGAAGAACAAAAAAAACTCGTTTTAAGATTCTTAACAAAAAAATTATGTTAATTTAAACCATTTGTTTTCATATATCTTATAATGTAAAACGTACAAGAAAACCCATAATTTAAACACCCAGACATTGCATATATATAATACCGACGTTTATATACGTATAATAAGAGTTCCCTGTAACACTCAGTCTTCGGAATTGTGTCAAACCAAGCAGACATTTGTTTGGGAAAGTCGAGAACTCAATATCTTCGCTATTTATTTGAAAAATTTGAATTTATTTAAATTAAATTTTAATCTCTGTGCTCACGTCTTTTGAATGGTGAATAAAACATGAAAATGGAAGCACACAGAACGCCGATTCAAAGCTTTTATGCTGGACAGACGATATTTATTACAGGTATTTAACGTACAAGTGAAATGTGTGAAATAATATTTCTAAGGCCGATATTTATAGTCAGATCTTATATTCAAGACCATCTTGAATGTAACTAAAGATAGGATCAAGAATCACTTGACGCCAGCAGATAAATAACCATGATTAAACAGTTGATCCACCATGACTGGCGATGTGTTTTTAATATAAAAAAAATATTGCGAAAAATATTACCTCAGCCAGGGTTTGAACCTGGACTTCCCTTCACTCTAAGCAGGCGTCTCAACCAATTCGACCACCGAGGCATTATACACCTAGACCGAATAATGGTGTCTAAGTGGTGGGAGGGTAAAGGGAACGGAAATACTTAAATATTGCGTTTCGATAGTGCTGTGTTCAACCGACAATCCGTATCGGTGCGCAGTTCACAAAAGTCGAAAAACTTACGCGTAGACAACATCTATATACTGTTATTGCGACAAATATTATCATATGCCTCGGTGGTCGAATTGGTCGAGACGCCCGCCTAGAGTGCAGGGAGGTCCAGGTTCAAATCCGTTTTTCCGTATCTATCATATTTTTTTGAGACATTTGGGTGGATCATTTAAAATGAGACACGCTGTATATCAGTTTATTATGCAGGCAGTACCGGTTTTCTCGGAAAGGTGTTAATTGAGAAACTTTTACGAAGTTGCCCTGACATCTTTAAGATATATGTGTTAATACGTCCGAAAAAAGACAAATGTCCCGCAAGCCGAATGGATGAAATGTGTGAGAAACCTGTGAGTATCTAGAAAACAATAACAAAACATGACGTATTAATGAATCATTGTTAACTAAATCTGTAACCTGTAGCTATATGACAGAGTAAGAAGAGAAGTTCCTAATTTCCGTAAAAGAATTGTACCGATCATAGGGGATATCAATATCGAAGGCTTCGGGTTATCAGAAAATGACCAGAACTTAGTGATAAATGAGGTAATTAATTTAGTTTACTCAAATCATTCTATGCATTTACATTTAAGTACAAAAATTGATCGTGTATCGAAAAAAAACTTATAATTTTCAATACAACTAATTATAAATATCGATGCAAGAAGAAGTATATTCTATGCCTTCTATTTGTTCTGCTTAAATCACTATAATGTAATTATATGTATATCTATTATAGGTGTCCATAATTTTTCATTTAGCGGCGAATGTACGGTTCAAGGCGAATATCAAAACTTCGACAGTAGTAAACGTTAATGCCGTCGGCACCATCTTAAAACTCGCAAAACGCATGCCAAATTTGAAAGTAATTCTTTTATCGGATAATATGTTCTAATAATAATAACAATAATAATAATAACCAAGAGTTTTGCGTACTATGCAATTTTCATTTATTTTAAGAAAAAACAAACTACATTTAATGTTTACTTTGCAGTCACTTGTTCATGTGTCAACAATATATGCAAACTGCCATGTAGAACATATAGAAGAACGCTGTTACTCGTATCCCATTAATTACCAAGATCTGATCATGTTCACGCGTAATTTACCCGAAATTGAAGTCCAGAAGAAAATATCAAGGTAATACTTGGATCTATACTATATAATAAAACAATTAAGTATGTTAATATAAAAATATCAACTATTGCTTGAGCAGAATTATCTCAAGATGGCCGAATGTATATACATTCACGAAAGCAATGGCAGAAGGACTTGTTAGAGATAAAAGCGGAGATTTACCAGTTGGAATATTTCGACCTGCAATAGGTAACAGAATAATTCTGAAAAAAAACAGAATAATCGTGAAATTTAACAGATTTTTTAGTATAAAATTTATTAAATGACATTTATATTAAAAAATTTTTGGACTATGTTGCAATTGTGTCATACAATTCTACAATATTTGGAAATAATAAGAAGTAATTGCGGGTATATGAATGTGTATGTGAATGTATACGTCGCACTTAGCAAACTTTAATCTTCGTAAATCCACAAGAGTTAAGATTTCTTTCAGTATTAGCAACCGCCAATGAACCACTTGTCGGATGGATCGATAATATCTATGGACCACTGGGTATTATGGTGAACATGCTACTTGGTCACACAAGGTTTCACCATTGTAATTCCGATCTCAAAGCAGACCTAGTGCCCGTCGACTTTACCATAAACGCTTTAATCGCTAGCGCTTGGGACATTTCTAATCAATGCAGGTATGATATAAGGTACACGACCTACATTGTAGCTGATTTCTCAAAATCTTTTTTCTGCTATTATAAAATTTGTCACTAAATAATGACAAACATCAATCGTATTCAGAAATAAGTTTTCAGATATAATTTTTTATCACTTACACATTTATATTGTAATGCTGGTATCAAACTAACATCACGTGCAATAATGAAATATGACAATAATGAATGCTAATCAACCGGGACATAAATGAATTAGTATTCACTTGTTATTTATTAAACTATCTAAGATACGAATTATTTTATTTCTTGATTAGAATAAAACAAAACTACTTAACACATTTATCAAAAGAATTGGTAAGATTTTTGACATGCTTGCCCTTCGTTGTTACTAAGAAAGATCGTTTGGTAGCTTCTCTTAACCTTCTTACAACTCTATTGTCGCCACTTAATTATTTTCTATGGAGATATGTTAAGAAATGTGGTGATCGTGATATAGAGCATTGTAAGCTGGTCTAATAAACCAAAAATCCAAGTTCAAAACCGACTAAGAGTATCTTAATTACTCCTTATATGTATAAAGATATATAGGAGAGTTTAACGCTCAAGAATCGAGCACAGTGCGATGGGCTAATCACCTCCACCTTCAAATTTCTACGATTACTGAAATCTCTATGAGACCCAACGTTCCTCATAGGAATCTTTATTTCTATAGGCCTAATACTCCTATTAGGAGTGATAGGAATTAATAATATGTGAAAGATATAGATAAGAACATATGATATTTCTCAACCTCATAAAGTTTTCCAAAAACAAAAAATTTCATTAACAAGAAACGTGTCTGTAAAGTTTGGGATAGATTTACTGTTTATTTATAAAGTTATTGCTTGGAATATTTGCCTTTTAACATAGGCTCTAATGAGACCGCGCGAAAACTTATCGATAAGGCATTCTGCAAAAGGAGAAACGAAATCTGAACTCATTTATAACTTTTGAAAAATAAGTAGACGGGTGTTCTTCGAAACTTTTTAGCACACTTTTATGATTCACTATTAGATATGTCTTAAAACAGGTATAAACAATGTTGTAACCTCTGCAAATATATTATACTGCAATATTACTACAAGTTAGGTAATAATTAATATTTCTAGAATCGGACATTTTTACCGTTTCTAAAATCTCGCAGCAACATTTTATAACGTTAATTTTATGCAAGATCGCAATCTTGTCTTAAAATGATGTCACAATATTCCTGCAATCTTGTGCTAATTAACGTGTGATTATGTATGAATTTGATACATAATCACAAAGATTAACACATCATATAAGACTCCGATAAATAAAAAGTGTGATACACAATTTAAATACGTGAATCGCATTTATTTTCTAGGAAAGGCAAGGATATGATAATTTATAACTTCGTGTCACCAGTTGACAGACCTACTTGGAATGAGTACTCTAATACACTTTTGGACACAAATAAGATATACCCCTTGCATAGCGCCATATATTACCCCTGTATGACATACTTGAAACGTAACATACCATATAGAATCTGCGTTTGGCTCTATCATTTTCTTCCGGCTTTACTAGTGGATGCAGCAAACATTTGTATGAATCGTAGACCGAGGTATGTATTACGTAAATTGATGGCCGGTATTTATAATCAGATTTTATATATAAGAACGTCTTGAGTCTATCTTAATGGTGTATGGAATATTTCATTGGCTATGGAGTGTCGAAAGATGTTCATGAGACCATCTTAAATATAAGATCCGACTACGAACACCGGCCTAACTGTTGTTTCTACTATGCATTTACCTCATCGCGTGTATTGAAACCAAATAAAATTACACCTATTATATAAAAACTTATACAAACTTTGTATGGATTTTAGAATGTTAAAGCTATGTCTAATGATCGACAAATATTGTAATGCCGCCGCACCTTTTTGTAACAATGAGTGGAGTTATTCCACTGACAACGTTCAAGTTATGTGGGATCGTCTTGGTGAGGAAGATCAGAAATTATTTAAATTCAACATGTTTGGATTTGACTGGACAAAATATATCGTTGATCATTACAAGGGCATACGTCTATTTCTACTGAAAGATGATGATAGTACTTTAGAAATCAGTCGCATCAAACATAAAAGGTAAGAGATCTCTCTTAATTTCCGATTAATTATTTTAGATTACGTTTAATGTCTACTTACAGGCAAAATCTTAAATTTCAGATTGTATTGGATACACCAAACGTTACGAATTGTATTTGTATTCATCGGCCTTTGGATTATCTGGTTAATGTTTACAATTATATACGTATAACTCTTTCTGCATATATTTTTATATTAACTCAATAAAAAATATTGCTTATAGTTAATATAAGGACAAACGTAATAGGAAAAGATTTCATTAATATAATTAAGAAGTTTTTGGACCTTGAGATTAAAAAATGGTTATATACACACACATACGCGAGCGCGCACAGGCGCGTGTGCGCGTACATGCGTACACGCAGAAATACTACGTATTAAATATTATATAGTTTATAAAAAAAGTTTTGCCTATTGCAAATTTGTTTATATTTGTCTGTATAGTAATCATAGGCGTGCGACCGATGTGCGAAATATTATGTGCTGTTAAAAGTTAGGGTTGTAACAAATAGTATGAAATATTTACTACAAAAGTTGTGATCATCCATGGAATGTGGAAATATGTGTGTATACATATGTATTTCATAATAGTTTTAATTTAAGTAAAATAGCTCCAGAATTCTATGTTTGTTCTGTGTTTTAATGTCCACAGTGGACGTATTGCATTCGCCAATCACATAAAACGGGGCCATAGCAGCTCTCAGGTTTCTCTCTGATATTTTTTATATTTTGGGGAATTTTTCAAAATGTGTTTAGAGATAAACCTGAGAGCGGCCACGCCGGCGTTTTACTTGATACCGTTTCGGGAGACTTTTACTTTTGGAACTATTTTATTACGCATTTTCTGACTATGCCGATAAAATGTTCACTTGGCGCGTGTCTGTGCCGTGCATTCTGGCATCTAATTTATAAAATTTACATTGTCCACATGAGAAGAGTTGATGTAAATATCATGCAAATAATTTATGTTGATGTAATTTTGAATTTCACAGCACAATTCTGAAAAAATGGACGTAGCGTGGACACGCACAAAGTGGTGAATTTATCGGCAGTGTCAGAAGATGCGTAGCAAAATAGTTTCGAAAGTAAAAATGGGCGTGAAAGCGCGCAAAACAGTCTCTTGAAACGGTATCGAGTAAAACACCGGCGTGCAGGCCGCTCTCAGGTTTATCTCGGATATAAACCAAACGGCGTTTTTACCATCTGGAAAAATGGATGTGGCTGCGTAGTTACTAAATCAACGATAAAGTGAGCGTGGCGCTGCGAGTTGCCGAATCAATTATCAACACGATTTCAGAACCCGCTGTATCGCCAGCATGGTAGCCGTTTTCTCTCTGTTCTGCCTGAGAAATAGTCTTTGAAATAGACATTTCGCAGCCGCCTAGTCATTTCTCGGGTTCATCGACCGAAAAGTATTCTCGCGTATGTCAAAAATCCGAATAAGGTTAGATACCTAAAAATATATTCTCACAGTTGACACATAACCAAAACAAAGTTTCTTCGTAGATCCGAATTAAGATTGATCAAGATACTTGGGACCGTAGAAGATTGCCACGCTTTACTGATTATAAGAGATTGCATAATGAAACGTTGAGTAAACTCGATGGTTGTCTTTTGGAGGCGGTAATCGCTCGAGTTTAAAACCGGGCTGCGTATCTACTGTGTCAGTGCTGCGTCGGTTTAAAGAATATTTCATTGAATATCGACTCGCAATCTTAAGAAAATTAAGTGAAACTTACAGTTTGCAAAAACCAAGCTGTTTGTGAATTCGTATGAAGTGCGCTTTGTGTCCCAATTGGATGAAAGCTAGCGACATTTAACAAGATCCCTTTCCCTGAAGGACGAAATTTGTCTGAAATATTGATTCTCTCGGTTTAATTAGATAGACGAGACGACAAAATGAATCACTTGCACACGGTTTTGTTCCTGTTTGTCGTTGCGGTGAGTGACACACCTCCTACCGAAAAGCATACCTTTGCATATTTAACAAACTGTGCACTCGAACTTCTTTCTTCAAAACCTCTTATAATTTTCTACGCATTTAACGACGACGATGCATTTACGCACGTGTTGCATGCGTCTAAAGAATAAATCATTATATCTGCAATGCCAATAATTAATTTTACAGATGGACATTGCCGTCGCAGAGTTTTCAGCAGACGACTGCAAGATGTTAGGGTTCAATAAAGCCAACGTGCTCTGCTCGACCTGTGAACACTTTGCCAAGCCCGATCTAGAGAAGATTTAGTACGTAAAAGACTCTATCGAACATTCTCATTGGGAGCCTCTCACGAACGTATCGTGTATGAATCTTTCTTTGCCTTGCAATTTCTAGCGCTACATGCAAGGAGTGTTGTCTAAAGGACAATGATTACGACTTGTCGGGATCGAAACGTTATCCCAAGGCCGTTCTTGAAGTGTGCACGTGCAAATTCGGACAATATCCGCAAATACAAGGTACAATCGAGTACTTGGGTTAAAAGTAATTGCAGTGTCGCAACGCGAAATTCGACGATTCACGACTGACACGCCTCTTTTTAGCCTTCATCAAGAGCGACCGACCGAAAAAGTACAAGAACCTCAGCATAAAGTATGTGAGAGGTTTAGATCCGATTATCAAGTTGTACGATGCGGAAAATAAGGTTGAAGACGTACTCGACATACACAAGTGGGATACAGACTCTGTGGATGAATTTCTGTCTACTCATCTTTCTAAGGATTAATAAAATTAGGAAATATATTGCACTGATATATAGTAGTTTCTATTGAATTCTTAATAAACTATCCATTTAATATGAATATACAGTACATGTATATGATTACGTCTTCTAATGTCATACGTACTCGTATCGTCTAACATTTCAATTATCGTTTTCACCATACACATCTTTTGTAACAAGTCAAACCTTGATATATAATATTGTGTTTTACCTTTCTTTTCTCACAAATTTCTCCATAGCACATTTTAAAAATAGATACAAAAAGATCAATCTTTCGTCAAAATGTTCTATACTTGTATAATAAGAGTGCACAGATCGTGATCTATCTTTCCATACATAGAAACACGTTTTTATTATGAAAATGATTTAAACGCTCACACATACGATTAAAGCAACATACAAAATTGGAAATTCTTAACACCACTATTTTCAGCATTCTTTCCAATATATAAATGTTGCATATTGAAAAATCATAAACTCAATGATCTCGTAAAATAAGAATTCAGAACAGAGAGAAGTTTGCTTAGGAACATAATAAGATTGTAAATATTCTCTTAAAGCCTTTCATCATTTACAATTGAATTAAAAGAAAACACAAGAATATTCTTATGGCTGTATATGTATATTACGTAGAACAAAAGGACCAATGATCTAAATTTGATATTATGTATTTCGATTACATGTATCATCAGATGCGTGCTTAGAATTCGATGGAGCTTGTTCACGTTTAAAATATCCTGCTTTTTTGGTATCGTATACACAATTAATTTCCCCTAATTATATTCGCAGTTACGTACAATATCCAATAATTTTCATCGTTTATATATCCCAGCAAACATAGAACATTGCGTAGTGGCGATCGTAGCGCAGAGGATTGTGCGCTGGTCTGGTAATCCGAAGACCCGGGTTCGAAACCAAACAAAAATATTGTTGGTTCTTCGTTCGATCGCCACATAGCGAAGTGGATATAGAGAGAGGTGTTATAAGAGGTTTGGGTACGTTCCTTCAAAAACGCCTTGTAACCCTAAGAGGAATCAACACTCGGTCGGCATAGAACATTGCGCAATATTGTAGCAACGTTACAGCCATATTATAACATTGCCGCAACGTTGTTTCAATGTTCTGTGTTTGCTGGGATGCAGCGCCAACAATAATTTCAAAATGCGAGAGAAAAATTACCATATCTGTATAGCTAAGAGTCCACATTATTTATACAAAAAAAAATCTAAATCTCTTTCTCTCGCGCGCGCGCACACATTCCTCTTATACATAGTGCTAATGAAATAGGTCGTTTATAATTGTAAACTTATAATTAAGAACTTACTATACGTTCACATGTAATGTTAATGCTAATATAATAGTGTGCAATATTAATACACAAATTAATATCACACGCTTCAATGATAAAAACGTGTTCTATCTGTTATCGTTAAAATTTATCTGAATACGAAACACAATTGCATTTCCTTTATGCCGACATCATCTTCCTCGCATTTACTTTCATATTTCCGTAAACAACCGTGTTACCTTATCGCCGGGATCTTCTGGCACGTGGGCCACCGCGACCGCGTGCGAAACCACGACCCCTAGCCTGCTTGACTTGAGGATTGCGATTTCGTTCTACCTTCGGCGCAGCCGAAGCAGACTTTTCCTGCTCCGTATGTTCTTTTTCTTCCGCCTCATCGATCAGATTACCCATCTCTGTATCGTTATCATTTTCTGTATCCGTCCACATTTCGTCAACTGACTGTTTTACATCTTGTGTGTTAGCGGTATTTCCCGCGGTTGTCTCCTTCGCATTTTCCTCCGCCTCGCGATTTTCCTCCTCCTCCGATTCGGCGGCATCGGCCTCCAATGGATCATACTTCTCCTCTCCATCCGACCTCTTCGGCGCGACATTCGCATTATCAGCACTATTCTCTTGCTGTTCCTCCGGCTTGTCGTTTTCCTCATTCTCATCGTGACTAATCTTACGACGTTTCCAATGTATATCGCATTCATCCTTAACATCCTCGGTGTTTTTCTCACTCTGTAAACGCAAGATAAGAATTTTGGTAGATTTGAAAAACGAGTTTCCTTTACAGCAACTTCTCTTTACGTGACATAATCGCTTACCTCAGCTTGTTCAGCTTCTTTCGATTCTGCAGCTGGTACAGTTGATGTTAACGATTTCACCTCCGCTACAAAGTTCCGATAGTGCGTAATGCTGCGTAAATGAGCGTTCATGTCCTCAGCCGAGAGCATAAACCTTCGGCAACGCTCGCAGTAAAACCCTTGGACCTCCTTGACCATAGCTTTACCTGAGCAAGTATAATTTTGTGTAAAGATAGTGCACGTGTACAGGAAGAACGTGCAAGTATTGCCTTTTATTTCGTACAAGTTGAAGTTGAATAACGTTTTTCTCATATAATACAATCTATAATCCATACCAATAAAGATCTGATTTTGACGGCAATATTTATAAGACGGTATCTTGAATTTCTTCTCAGTTATATTTTCTACGATATCCGTGATGTATTCTTGCTCTCCTAAATCCTCCTCCTTTTCGAACTTTCCATAGACATCTTTCTCCTCGTCCTCCGCGGTGCGAACCTCAGCTTCTCCCTTTGCCAATTTTTCTACAAAGGCAGTTTATCAAATAAACTTTCTCCTTGCATTTTCATCCGCTTTTTTCTCCATTACCTTTCTTTTTATTTTTCCGTTGTTCCTCGCATTGAACGAAATTCTTCATGTGAGCGGGCGTTAAACAGTGCTCGTCGTATTCTATGCGAGATGGGAATTCTTTTAGACAGGGGAAGCAGCGGGGATGTAAAAAGGTTTTCAATTGTTGATGCTTCTCGCTCTTCCTATGCGTAGACAAGGTTCCGTAAAAGTTGAGATCGCACATTGTACAATATTCTCTCACGTTGAAATCTACAGAGACCTGCAATGAAGAAATTATAAGTATAATACTATCAAACGTGTACGTGTATTCAACTCTTTACTAGGAGACGTAAATCTTACTTTTTTGCCACGTCGTTTCGAGTTGTTCAAGCTGAGCTCACGCTGCTCCTCGGCAACTCGCAGCTCGTGTCTCATAAGATCAACCTTCAATTTGTACGACTCGTCCAGCTTCTCCATCATCAGCTGATGCGCACGGCCGCGTAGATGATTTTCGAAGGACTGAGAAAAACATATAAAAGTTAGCTACCAGTCGGCGATCGCGCAGATTTGTTAATTTCATCAGTGATGCATACAAATCCGTCCCACATATGCTTGTTGCAAATGTGACAGAACATATGGTTCATCGGAACTTCGAAGTAACGACTCTCAGCGTGTCTGACTTCCGATTTCTTGCCAGTCATTTTCGTGTTTTCTTTCTCGGTTTTCTCAGACGTGTCTTTCCCTTCTTTCGACGGAGAATCTTCCGCAGCGGACTTGTCCAGCTTTTTCTCGCTGTCTTCCGTCTTTTCGTCCTCCATTTTCACAACTTTTTCTTCCGTGTTTTTCTCATCCTTCCAATCGCGCTTCTTATCCTCGGACTCGTCTGCGTCATTGCTGTTCATCACAAATAGTCTAGGATAAAGCTCGTGTTCAAAGAAAAGTTTTGTAATCAACTTTGAACAATTGAGCATGTGTAACTTTAACTTCCGATTGTAAATTTACATAGCTTTGCAAGTCATGTCGATTCGTACGAAATCCCGTTTGCGAATTAAAAAAAATTGCACCGATATCTATACAGAAGTGTACAGAAAGATGTAACCCAGACATCTTATTAGAGTGTAGGATAAGTACATTATCGCCGATTGGAACGCTATACGTGAAAATGCGTTTTGATGAATGTACAGAGAGAAGAAATTACGAAAAGCAAGAGTAAAATTTTCTCACTCCGGCCAATGGGCTGTGAAATGTAAGTTGACTCGCACTGACGGTATATGATAAACATATAAAAACAAAGAGACATAGATAAGAGAGAAATTTCCGAGCGATTGATAGTACAAAAACATATATTAGCTAATGTTAAGAAACATATGTAAAATATATGTATACATGTATTTAAGGCAAATAGTTTCGGAGAGACTGAGACTTACTGAAATTTGAAGAAACTATACCAATCACAGGTAATCGGGAGCTTACCTTTTCGGAACAGGCGGTTCTGCTTTTTCGCTATCAGAGGTCTTAACATCCTGCTGTTCCTTTTTGGCAGTCTGATTTTGTTTAGAGGCAGGAATTGGTTTAGAAGATTTATCGTTGCGATGTTGTATTTGGTTTCCGTTCATACGTTGACTGCCAGACTGGGGTGCACGAGATTGTTGTGCGGATGGGCCACGTCGCCCAGCGGGGCCATCTCGGGCTCGATTGCCCATCTAGTTAAGTAGTAGAGGTCAAACGACCAAAAGCATCATGAGAAGTATCTGATGTAACTGTGATTCTTCTCAAATCGAGACACTGGTTTCTAGAAACCACTTTGGGATTTGAGGGAGAGAACAGTTCTACAGTCGATAAATGGAAACGGGACGGAGTCGGTGAAGTACCGAGGCTCTCTCTTCCATTTCCACACCAAGTGTGGAAGGAAAGGGAGAAAAACTGTAGAGTGCATCCCGATTTCGAGTTGAAATACGCATCGTGTGTGCACGATCGCAACGATCATAAGATACGATCATAATTATAAAAAGTAGATAAAATTTTCTTTTGCCACTAAAAGTACTTGAGCAAAACTCGGTGAATTGCTAATGAAACGTGAAGAAGAAGTTAAAATCAAGTGAAATATGCAACTCGTGTACGTAAGTGGTAGTAGTTTTGAATAAGGTGCAACCACGTTGACTTTTAGTATCACATCTAGTGGACAAGAAGACTCTGGTTACACAGACTGTAAAATGCGAGGCAACGGTTCAAATTCGGTCCTGCAAAAACCTTCAGTGAACTTCCACAAGTAGTAAATTGAGATTTACACATTTCTGAAATCAACACACGTGTTTCAACAGTGCTCTTTTAATGAAATACTTTTTCTTATCGACGATATCTAGAGGCCCCGTTTCAGACAAAGCTGATCCATCAACAAGACTTATTTGTATCTTAGTGATTTCGTCATTTCGTCTATCGGCCGTGTCTAATCGAGTGAACGATAAGTATCCTGTTTAATCGATCGGCTCGACAAGGGGAATTTGTAACGTTCAGAATAGTTAAAAGACAGTTTGTGCCCATGCGAGGAGGCGTGGACCACAGATTGTCGTTTTTTTCTTTTCTTTTTTTTTAATAACTCCTGTTTACGATACAGAAGAAGATCGTAAGCAAGCGTTAAAAGAATTGCCTTAAAGGGGTTTACCTTGGCTCGTGAGGAAAAAGAAAAAGCGTATTCTAACAAACTCGCCTACCTTGTTGTACGGCTGCGGACGCTGGTTCTTCATAGGATGCCGCGCCACTCGATCGTTAAACCGTCCGGACGAGTAGTTCTGCTGGTTGGGATAATTCGGTCCCGGTCCAGAGTAATTATTTCCCAGGCTCATGAGAGACGGCACCTGCGCGGGCGCAAAGCGTACGAATTAGAAGCGAGTTCGGGGCGCGAAAGGCAGAATCGTATTAAAGCTAACGAAACGCCTCTCTTTCGCGCACCTGCGGCTGCGCCTCCTGCTGGCTGCGAAGCAGATTGGTGAGGAGGTTGCTGGCGATCGCCAGCTGCGCCTGCGGCGACGCCAGGGACAGGTTGTTGTTGGGCGTGGGCAGGATACCCCTGCCGGGCATCATGCCACCCTCCCAGGGATTCATTCCACCCATGCCGCTGTTATTGCCCACTCTGTTGCCACCGCCCCCGCCGCCCCCACTGCCGCCCCGATTGAAGTTCCCTCGGTTCCCGAAGGAGTCCCTCTTCACTCCCCGATTGAATGACATTGTGCTCCTAATGCTGGAACCAAACGTTTTGGATTAGCCTCGAGTACCATCTGGAAGCTGACGCGTGCGGGGCGCCTCGCGGTTTTGGAAAATTTTTATTCTTTCCTGGCTCGGATTTTTTTTCCCCTTCCTTCCTCTCGCTCTCTCGCTTAAATAATAATTGCTACCAAAAGTTTATCAGAAGTCCAAATATCTTGAATTCCGATTCTAAATACATTTTGCAGGCACGTATCTTGTTTACACGACACAAAAGTTGCACCGACAGTAGTCGGGGAGTCTAAAACGAGACTGTTTTCGAAAGCTACGATAAAATAATACACATACCGGTATGTGTGTGTATGGGTGTGTGTCTTCGTAAAGACGAAGGTGATCAAGCGGAGCCTGTCCAGTTAAAAAGCCAGTGTTGTACAGCGAACCGATCTCGCGAGCAATATAGAGAACGCGAGACAGGTGAGCGCACGTAACGCTATGTAACACTGAAAGTTCCGAAACGACGTGGCGGGTGACGAACGCTCGGTCGGAGCGTCAGCGAAATTGGCGATCGCGAACCAGAGGCTTCCGCGATGCGACTCCGGCGAAGTGGCGGTCGGCGAACGGGCGATCCGAGCCAGCGAGACGCTGGCATGTGCGACACGAAGACGTGTCGGGGTTTCCTTACCGAAGCGACGACGTTAAGCGTGATGCGGAGAAAAGCCGACGACGAAGATCCGCAGCGAAACGAAACGAAACGCAAATGAACGCAGCGAGCGATTGCAAATGGCCGGAATCCCTTCAGTTACCGTGAACCGCCGCGAACTATGCAATTGAGCAAGACCGTCGTGCGCGCCATTTGGGACTCTTGTGTCGCATCGACCGTGGTTCAGGTCTGTTCTTTCCAACTCAACTTTTGGCACGAGGTCCGTTCTTTAAGCCCAATGTCCACGATGCTAGAACTTGGACCAAGTTCTAGCATCGTGGACATTGGCCTTTATAGCTGAATCTAGCCAGTTCTAGAGTCCCTGTAGTAAGAATCTGGCAAGAAATATTTTCCGTTTGATTGGTTTGACGTAGAGCTACTAGATAAAGGGGAGCCAGTGAACTCTATACATATGTATAGAGTTCACTGAGGGGAGCTGACTCGTCCGCCATCTTGGAGCCCAAACGTTTGACTTCGACAAATGCATTTCGGCACAAGATATGAATTTCTTGTTCTAAATTTATTGTTAATAAAATCCAAATTACGTTTTTGTTTTTGGAAAGCTATATTTTTAATTAATTATTAAAGCTATATTATTAATTTAATTTGTAAATTGACGCAAAATGGCGGAACCAATAAGGTGTCTCGAATCTGTACTCTGAATGCGGGATTATTATTATTATTATTATTTGGTTACCTTTGGTCTGTTCGTTATCGCTGCATTACTGCACTAGTGCAATTAACTAACTGCACTAGTGCAGTAATGCAGCGATAACGAACAGACCAGACGCCATTTTGCGTCAACCCTTGCCAGACTCTTAAACATAGAGCTATTACAGATAGAGGGAAGTAGGTATGGGACGACGTGTAAGCGCATGCGATAGTGGGATAAAAAGAGAACGTTGCAATAGAGGCCGGTGTGTCACTGTCTAATAGTCACGCGCATGCGCGTAACGTGTGCGCTTGTAAAAAGAGTGTGTCTCTTTCTTTCTTATAAAAGCATGTGGAAAGAGAAAGATACACTCTGAACTAGTGCAGTTAGGCGCACGCAGTACCTAATACGCATGCGCTATGAGACAATGACACACCGGCCTCTATTGCAGCGTTCTCTTTCTACGGCTATATCACAGTATAACCAGTATGCCCACTCTCTGTCGGCACCTTTGATCTGGGCGTTCTCAA